GCGAACAATTTATCGGATTTGTGAGACCTACAACACCAGCAATAAACACTAGAAAACTGGAGTGTTTTCCCACCCTTCTGAACGTCTGAAACTCACCCGAGCCCTCAGGTCTCCACACCAACTACCCACAAAAGTTTAATAACATCATAAAAACTTGCTCGTGTGATCTAAACACCAAAACAACATCAAAAACCGCAAATCGGACGTCAAAGCACATGAATTAACTCATGAACTCAAAACTTCTAAAAATACTTCCGCACATCCGATTCCTATCAAATCAACTTGGAATGACGCCAAATTTTGCGTGCAAGTCTTAAATGACATACGAACCTACTCCAACTTCCGGAACTAGAATCCGAACCCGATATCAAAAGGTTCACCCTCGGTCAAAATTCCCAAAACTTCAAATTTCGAACTTTCGTCAAATGACCCCCGAAACGAACTACGGACCTCTGAATCCACTTCCGGATGAGCTCCCAACTCTAGAATTACCATACGGAGCTATTTCTAGGTTCTGAATCCCAAACGGATGTCTAGAATGTAAAAATCCATTTGAACCCAAACTTATAGAATTTGCTCAAAATGTCAACTTTCACTATTAGGCGTCGAAACCCTCTCGGGTCGTCCAAAACCCGATCTGAAGATACGTCCAAGTCCAAAATTATCATACGAACCCATTGGAACCGTCAAATCCTGATTTCGAGGTCGTCTACTTAAAATATTGTCCGAAGTTAAACTTAGCCTTTTAAGCCAACCTCAAGGAACCAAGTGTTTGGATTTCAACCCGAACTCTTCTAAATCCCGAACTAATCATCCTCGATAAACAGCAAAAGAACGTACGAGAAGTCTTATTTAGGGAACATATTTCTAGAAATCAAAACGACCGGTCGGGTCGTTACAAAATCTATCTTTAATTCAGTTTATTTTCATGAATTTGAGGTAAAGCTCCATTGTTTATTAATCTTACCATTGATCTAAAAAGAACTGCATGTGGGCGGAAAATAATTGAAACAAAAAAGAAGGAGAAACAAGTAGAAAGTAACAAAATTGATGTTAAAGAATATGAAATGCACCTGCAAGTTGAAGAGATTTGAGGAAGACGAAGAAATTTGAGAAGCTTTATAAATTCATTGTGTATGTTATGTAAACAAATTGAAGAAAAACAGTAACTTAAAAGGTACACGTAGTATTTGTATACGGAAAAAAGGCCACGTATAGAGCTAATGTAAAATGACCTAAATGCCCTCAAGCTTTATTGAAATGATGTTAAGCACAAGTCTCGAAACTCTCTCTCTTCTAATATATAGTGTATTATTTTAATATTAAGTATAATTAATACACACACCCCCACACACTGTGGCGGAGTCACTCATTGGCAAAGGGAGTCATATGACATTCTAACAGTCACATGGCCTTGTCGATTACTTTCTCGTGCTTCTAAGTTATGGAAACTATGTTAGGTTTTGTCTAACAAAGAATTTTATAATGTAAGTTTTGTAGATTTTTGCTTACCACTGTTATGTAGCGAAATACATTTAAATTGTCCGCAACGATCAATTAAACATCTCAATTAAGTTCATATTCAGCTAGACACTTTATTTATTCACAAAAGAAATCAACTAAACATCTGACCATATCAGCCCCTGTTGCAAGAAATGCGCTCTGTGGAAGCGAGTTGCCTACCTCAAATTAGGTTTTTTCTTTTCCTAAAATAAGGTGGACCACACTTAATTTCCTTTTGTATCATTCCTTTCCACCATACCTTTACTTCAGATTAATTACGTACAGATTAAAATCATCACAAACAGGCAAAATAGTCATTAAACAATAGAGAATATCATAAAAAAGGTAGCCAGAAAACATGGCAGAAAACAGTGGCAAAGCAAAGAACCGCCGGATTTCGATTTTCAGGTTTCACGGCCACATCGGAAATCACCATCAACGCAAGAGAACATATAGAGCAGTAAAAAGGAGATAAGTAAGGAGGTTGCCGGAAAAACGTAGATCCGACCATACTCGTGAAAAACAGTCCGCAAACATGACGCAAAAGTATATCTTCGGCCAGATCTCGATATATCTATAGTCATCTAGATATATCTAAAATCTCTATCGAAGTCGACCGGTTTTAATGGGGTCACCGACTTTGTAGATCTCACCTGCATTTGAAAGCCTACCGGTGAGGGTTCTGCCACGACAGAACAGTGACGGGGAGAGGGGGAGAAGGGGTAAAGGGTAGTTGTGGTTGAAGGGGAGGTCGCTGCCTAGCCAGTCATCACCTCTAGAGGTGGCAACTGTTGGCGTTGTGGCGGCAGAAATGGAGGGAGAGAGGAGCTAAAGAAGCTTTCTTTTCTTCTTTAAATGTATTTTTTTTGTTAATTATATGTGGCAATTTTTTATGGCAAAATTACAACCGTGTCATTTTTTGATTGATCCATTTGATATGTCATTGGTAAGTGCATTTTACGCATATGGTCCATTGTACTCAGGTGTTTACTTGACCTACTTAATAGTCATTTGAAGTGTTAAAATGAAAAATGGTTCGATTGAGATGTTCATTTGATAGTTGAGGACAACTTAAAGGGATTGTTTATGTATTTCACCTTATATTTATCTCTAGCTTCATTTTAAAAAAGTATACCTACAGACGAAACTAAAAACCACTTGATAGCCATTAGTATTACTTCTTGTTTGGTTAATCTCATCGACATTTCTGCTATGTAGCTCCTTCATGTTAATTCGTAACCACAATATCTTTTACTAATTGCGTATTCATGTTTATACCTTTTAACAAGTAGTAAGTAACCGATTCGTCCCAATTTATGTGATACAATTTAATCATATATGAAGTTTAAAAACAATTAATATTTGTGGTCTAAAAGAAGTCATAGACATTTATGAGGCTATAAATCATTTAATTAAGGGTGAAATATTAATTCTAAAATTAAATTCTTTTTAGTTATAAAAAAATAATATTTTTTTTGGGATAAACTAAAAGATAGGGAATATCTTTTATCCATTTATTATTTAAAGCGGATAGAATAGTGCAAGCCGAACAACCAAACAAGCTAAGCAGATAGACTAGAAGTAGCACCTAATTTATTTTTTCTGTTTCGAACTAGATAGAAATATTATCTATTTTGAACTTGATAGAGATTTTACTTCACAAAAAATCTCCTATTTAAATGAAGTAATTGGTCAGAAAGAAGAAAAGAATTTCATTTTACATTTGTTTATTCAATTTGTAATATATCTTTTTTGTTTCCTAAATAGCATATTATCACAAATGATGAGACAGTGGGAGGTTTGTCCGGTTTTTTAAAACTATATTTAATTTAAGAATTTAAATATAGAGATTTATATTTTACTATTTATAAGTTAATTATGATGAAAGAATAATTCAATCGGACTATGATATGAGCTCAATTTAGAATTGTTCAAAATTTTGTGTTTAATTCAAATATTTTATGCTTTCAAGAATAATCTATAAAAAGAAAGATTAGAGTACTCTCATTTAAGAAGTTTGTTTTTTATTTCCTCATCCTTATTCTATTCTTTATAATATTAACTTGATGTTTTTAACGAGTGGGCAATTAGAAATATATACCTGCTTCCATGAGCACTTTATTGCTCTAAGATTAAAAAGATACAAGTAAAACTAAAAACTAGCAACAAACACATTAAAGTACACGTAAGAAACTCAAATTTGTTTATCCCTCAATAATGTAATAATTTTCATATATAAATTAACACAAACCTAAATTGTTGGGCTCGTGCCAGCACGGGCATGTAGCGTCTAGTGTGTATATAGATATTAGAGTCTTGTGACTAGTGTAATATTTAATTATATTATAATTAATTTGAAGTATGACAGAGAATCATTAAGAAATTCGTTTTAAAATATATCTCTATTATTAATAATTATTTCTTATATTTCATGCAATACCAAACTTCTCTATTTATGGAAAAATATCTTGCCTTAGATCCAGAGGCGGACCTACGTTGAGGCTTGAGGGGTTACGGGACCCCGTTAGCCTCGGCAAAAATTATGTATATATATTTCTTTGCATACAGCTGTGACCCCTTAAATATTTTTCGTGTGCCCCCAAATTCAAAGAGGCAAACTAAAGGAGCGATTTTGTGGAGAACTTAAATTTCGGCTTTTGCTAGATGTGTGGGTTCAAAACCCATTATCTCTTTTTCCCCTCTTTTTAGTTTACTTCTTGTAATTCAACTAATCTGTACACATAATAGTCAACTTAACTTTTTTTCTTTTTCAAATCCCTCCCTTAAAATTAAAAGTCTCAAATTGCAATATATTGCGCTTCAGAAGTAGAAAAATACAAATTCTTTTGCCACAACTTTCTTCAAAAATCACTTTGACAAAGTAGCGGATATTTGTCAACTCTGGCTCAACAATAACAACTAATTAAGAGTTTGAGACTTTTCTTCAGTTCTGTAACTATTAGCACACCCTTAATCTAGATTTGTTTAGTAAGCTTTTTGATAATTTTTGAAGTTTGAACACCTTTTTGATCATAGACCCCTTATTTAACTGAGAAAAAACTAGAAATTTTAAAACAATCTTAAATCAAATACCTTCACTTTTCGTAGCACCTATTTTGCGAATAAATCTCTCTTTGTTTGATGATTTCTATTTCTTTAGAACTTTTATTTATTTATACTTGGATGATAAGTCATCATAATCATTAAGTTTTCAAAGAATTGTCCCGCCAAATTTTATGGCTAGTAATTAACATACAATGGTGCCCGTCTTGCTCGAATAGTGGGTTCGCCTCTGCTTAGATACTTTTTTTTTTTGAAAGTATCAACTTTAGTCATATTACTATATTATTTCTTACATAGAAAAAACAATTAATATAGGGATTTTAACATTTTCACAGCGAGCTTGCTCAAGCTGCACCGAACGCTGCTTCAAAAAGGTACTGTCCCTTCTTATCTCTCAAATAATTAACCTCACCTTTTCATTGTTTAGCTCGTAGTTCTGATGTTAGTTTTGTTTGATTGAAGTTATTAATGGTTAAAAATCCCCCAGAATTGGAATTCTTGAATTTCATTTTATGGATTAGCTTTGTTATTTTTATATGGGTTTTCTTGGATTAAGGGTATTATTGGTTGAGATCAATCTAAAGGGTAAACCATAGCTGGGATTTGCTTGAATTCTTGATTTTATTTGATATGTGTATCTGCAGAGGCCGGATCCAGGATTTGAACTTTATGGGTTGGGAATGCCACTGAGCCCATTGACTATTTGAGTTAATGTGTTCGAAATTAATATTTTTACATATTTACTAAGGTAGATTTTATTAACACGTATACGGGTATTGAACCTAAGGTACTAGGTTCAGCTGAACCTATAGCTTATATTGTACATCCTCCCTTGGTTATCTGCATAGATTGTTAGGTTCTTGCATCTGTATTGTTAGCACTACTACAAAATATTAGAAATTATGAAATAAGTACCAGCTGCTCACCGCAGCAGAGTGCTTTGCCCATGCTGCTATCCGCTACTGAAGGGATTCGTGCTTGAATGTCGACTATGCTTTTTCTTGCTAATAAAGAAGTCAATGGGTAAATAATGAAAAAAAGGTTTAAGATTTATTATGAAACCTGATAGGCTAATTGCTTTATGCTAGAAGTATCAGCTAATAGGTCTATACATTCTTCGGAGGCGAATTCAGGATTTGAACTTGATGGATGTTTGAGTCTGGGATCATACCACAACTCATTTGATTTACTGGGTTCGAGATCAATTATTTGTACTTATGTAGTGAATCTTTTAACACATAAACATGGCCAGAGCCAGAGCTACTGGGTTCAATTGAAGCCATAAGTTGAACAGGCGGCATCCTTAGGGCTAGTTATAGTAAAGTGTGATTAGTCCCATACTCACATAAGTGTCATGTTATATATTGTGCAACTATTTTACTGCTCTTGAGATATTAGAGTTGTTTTAGTGGTGTCTGATAAGAGATTTATAGAAGTGCTCTGTAGTGTGTAGTTTCGAGATTACCAGAGTCACTTTTAGCTGAGGTATGTGGGTTTGATCTTCTTCATAGCCAGCCTAGGTTAGTTTTCTAGGCTATTAGTTACGGCTAGTGTATTTTTCCTGGTTAGAGACAATTTATATAGTACTGGAAGGAAATGGACTTGAATAGAGCAGAACTAGGAAGATGATTTATATAGTGGAACTTGACGAGTTTAGGATTGAGGCATGGTTGGTTTAGTTAGTTACAACTAGGAAACCCTCTTTACAAAAAGACGACTTGTAATGTTCTCAATCGTGCAAGTTTAAGATTTCACGTGTCCAATGATCATGGTCTGAACAATGTAAGTAGCTTTTAAGTTTCTTAGTTTATTAAAGAAAAGAGAGTTCAATGTATCGTGTTTCATGGTGAAGCTAAACATGTTATTGAACTTTCTGCTGTTGAGGCTGAAGTTCTTTCTTGATGAGGTTTGACACAGTTTTTCATTGTGTCAGTAACATTTATTAGTGATGGTGTTTGTTGTGTCAGAGAATTTTTATGGACTCGAGTATGATTATCAAGAGCAGATACTTGCTGGTTTTGTAATGGAACTCTGTTTTTGCTATGTACTTGTCCAGCACATTCTTTGTTCTAATTCATGAATAAAATTATCTTTATTCATAAAAAAATAGAGCAGACGTTTGTAATGGGAGTATGTCCAACTTCTAGCAAGTCTTTTCTGAAATTTTGAAGGGTACACAAAAAAAATCCATACCTATGGGGTACCCTTTTGACAAGGGCGCATCAAGGGAAGCGAAGAGGGGAGGCAACTTCAGAAGATATCGACTTGTTTGGAAATTTATCATGAAGACAATGATAGAGGGTAGTCACATTGTGACATGGACTTGGTTTCTCTTGTTATCATTTGATGTTTGGTAGTTATTGGAGTAGGTTGGTTGTTCTTTCTTTTCTAAGTAAATTTGTTTGTGAATTGAGTAAAATGGTGGATATAGGTACTATGAAAAGCGAAATGTGCCCATTTGTGTTTGATGAAACACGTTGAAGACGTCAATAAATTTAAGGGTCTTGTTTCTAACAACTTAAGCTTTTAGATGAGGTGACACACATAGTTCTGCTCAACATAGAAGCAAAGCTAGCAGAGACTCTGAGTTCAACTCTCATTGCCCCATTACAAACAACAAATACATCTTAGCGCTTACTCCAAGAAAAAGAACTGCATCCTAGTATAAGGGGGCATGTTGAGGACGTAAATTAAATAAATGAAAGGATCCCCTTTCCGTCAACTTAGCTTTTAAATAAGGTGGTACACAGAGTGAAACTACAATATTCCTTTGTATTCTTCTTTAAAGGGCACATTCATGTTGAGTACGTAAACCAATAAGAAATGGAATTGTTTGTTCAATTTGGACCTATTAGATAGTTGATTAAAGGATGCTAAAACTCTCTCAGTTTTAAGTACTTCTGATCCTTTTAAGTGTGATGTGAACTATGCGCTCCTTAAATAAATCCTGGATATCCTTCTCCAAAATAATTACTTTGGAATGGACCTGCAGTTTATTTTATTTCTCATGTTTCTTTGTTCTCTTATGTACTTGATCTATGTGGACTCTGATTTATCTTTCTGTTTGCCTCTAGTGCAGATTGATTTGTAGCTGAGGTAGGTGCTTGGTGTCAATTGGCAATGGCAGATGGCCAAGAAAATGATAAGAATATTGAAATATGGAAAATGAAAAAGTTAATCAAAGCCCTACAATCTGCGAGAGGAAATGGCACGAGCATGATCTCTCTTATCATACCCCCTGGTGATCAGATATCTCGTATTACCAAGATGCTTGCAGAAGAATACGGTACTGCCTCAAATATTAAGAGCAGAGTAAACCGTCAGTCTGTGCTTGGTGCAATAACATCTGCTCAACAGAGGCTTAAACTGTATAACAAAGTTCCTCCTAATGGATTGCTGCTTTATACTGGAACTATAGTGACAGATGATGGGAAGGAAAAGAAGGTCACCTTTGATCTTACGCCTTTTAAACCCATAAATGCATCTCTCTACTTATGTGACAATAAGTTTCATACCGAACCTCTGGGTGAATTGTTGGAATCTGATGAGAAGTTTGGTTTCATTGTTATGGATGGTAATGGCACCCTTTTTGGGACCTTAAGTGGTAACACACGAGAAGTTCTTCATAAGTTCACTGTTGACCTTCCAAAGAAGCACGGAAGAGGAGGTCAATCAGCTCTTCGATTTGCTCGTCTTCGGATGGAGAAACGTCATAATTATGTGAGGAAGACAGCAGAGCTTGCTACTCAATTCTTCATTAATCCAGCCACTAGCCAGCCAAATGTATCTGGACTAATACTTGCTGGATCGGCTGATTTCAAGACCGAGCTAAGCCAGTCTGATATGTTTGATCCGCGCCTACAAGCAAAGATACTTAACGTGGTCGATGTGTCCTATGGTGGGGAAAATGGCTTCAATCAGGCCATCGAGCTGTCTGCTGAGATTCTAGCTAATGTGAAGTTTATACAAGAAAAGCGCTTGATAGGGAAATTCTTTGAGGAAATCAGTCAAGATACTGGAAAGTATGTGTTCGGTGTGGATGACACAATAAAAGGTTTGGAGATGGGAGCTGTTGAAACTCTTATTGTGTGGGAAAATCTTGATATAAACCGATATGTACTGAAAAATAGTGTGACTAATGAGATTGTCATTAAGCACCTAAACAAGGACGGAGAGGCCGATCAAAGCAACTTCAAGGATCCTGCCACATCAGCTGAATTGGAGGTTCAGGACAAAATGCCGCTGCTCGAGTGGTTTGCAAATGAATACAAAACCTTTGGTTGTTCGCTTGAGTTTGTTACTAACAGATCTCAAGAGGGGTCACAGTTTTGCAGAGGATTTGGTGGCATTGGGGGAATACTTCGCTACCAGCTTGACATGCGTTCCTTTGATGAGCCATCTGATGAAGGAGAATACCTTGAGGATTCTGATTAAGCCAATTATTTATGTCTACTAAGTCCGGATAATGAATGAAAGATCTACAATTGGTGGAAGTTTTTCGGCCAGCATTGCAATGAGGTTCCCGCTGTCATTCTTAATATAAATTAATGAGTATTTGCTGTTGTAAACTTTTGCTTTTTTCTCTTTAAATGTGGAACAGATTTCTTTCGAACAAATGTGAATTGAAGGGGAGGGGACTTCTTGATTGTTTTATCAGCCTGTTTGCCATATTAATTGTTTTGAGTTTATAGCTGGGAGAATTTTGATTTATGCTGAATGGGATTCAATGTCTTGTTTGTTATAGATAATTGAGTTTCTACAGTTAGTAAGAACGGAGTTATCACCTGAGGGGTGCATCTCTGACTGACCTTGATCTTTGATTTGTGGATCTAATCACAAAGAAAATTGAGTCACCATGTTTTAGAGTTTAGAATATGATTAAGATGAGATATATGCAATCTTCTCTTTATGGGATGTTCAGATTTAGCATGAGTAAGTAGAATATGCATTGAAGCTTTAGTGTACTTGAGCCTCTATTTTGATGATTTATAAGAGAATGGCATGGGTCTCATTAGATAGTCCTGCTGAAACAATGTAAAATTCTGGACAGCTTTAAAGTTTGGCTTTGCTCATAGGAAAATCTAAAGATAGATGAAAAGAGAGGGCAAATATGGTGACATATTGCCAGACTCTTTGGAAAAAAAACAGGAATTACATCCGAGAAATGTTGTGTTTAGTCGCTGCAACTTGTTTGTTCATATTGTGTAATTGCAGGTTGAGAAGTTATCGCATGACTGTTTAGGTGACATNACCTCGACTATTGTGCTGGGAACTTGCGATCTTCCTATCAGTGCATGTACAGATGTACTAAGTAACTCTGCCGACCAAGGGCTAATGGGAAAAATCACCTATCCTTTTCAGTCTCTAGTGGGCATCCTGCACTTCTCATGTTTGGTGTCAATTTCTTACTGCCCAAAATCTTGTCGTTAGAAGTTAGCTGTGGTTACAAAGGGAGAAATGAATGGTGTCCTCATTTGTCAATTTCTTACTGCCCAAATCTTGTTGTTAGAAGTTAGTTGTTGTTAGAAAGGGAGAAATTAATGGTGTCCCCATTAAGTTTCAAGCATGCATTTGTCAAATTGAGGAGCTTGTCTCTGGACCAATTGATATAGGGAAAAAAAAAAACAATGTCAACATCGTTTTTCTCTCATTGCAACAATGAAGTAGAATTTCTAAAGTAATTGAAGCAGTTGTTGACAGTAATTGTGATTTAGTGGTAATCCCTCTATTTTTTTAGGTTCTAGAAATACAAGAAACAGATGGAACAGAAGCAGAACATGCAAGGATGAGAGGTTTACTGCATCTGTTTATAAATAGTCCATTGTTGTCAACTCAAAATTTTGATTTGGGTTATGACTTGACCACAATAGCTAATAATTGTACTGGCAAGAGGATGCTTCCTTGTTTTGCCCTAGTCAGCCTATTCAAGATGTTACTTTGTAATCCAAGTTGGCATCAATCTCACACGTTAATTACCATACAACGTACGCAAAGTTTTGCAGAAACGGCGTTGGCCCATAGTATATACACACATATAGAAGGAAACTTTTGTATATGAAGCAGTATCGGATGATACCTCTTACTAAAGGGTGTCGCCACCACTGACTATGACGTTGGTTGAAAGGTTGAGAGGGCACCTAAAACCTTCTTCTCTGGGTCACGGAGTTAGGTATGTAGGTGATAACTGTTCATGTTACTCTGTTCGACTCTCGAATTATGACATTTTTTAGCATTTTTTGAATTTCTCTGTCTTCAATGGTGATAACTGTTCATGTTACTCTGTTCAACTCTCGAACTATGACATTTTTAGCATTTTTTGAATTTCTCTGTCTTCAATTCTGCCTCCGCCTCTGTTCAGTTGTACAATGTATGTTTCCAGTTCTCGGAGTATTTCAAACATTGTGTCGAAACAGTCCCCACTCACAACTCAAAATTTGTACAAACATTTCTTCTACCGAACTTAATTATGAACGCAATATTGGAAGACTATTATTGGAGCAGTCATTTCGTGTCTGTTGTATGGCACCTCATTCTGGTGTTGCCCAACTTCCAAGCATGTGAGGATGAGTACAATTATCCAGCAGCAGTAGGGCTAACTTTGTGATGTTCCAAAAGACAAAATTAAGACTCGTTTTCGACTAATACAAATTCGCATCCTGTAGCGCCTATCAGGGGCGAAGCTACATTTATCAAAGGGTGGTCAATTGACCACCCTACGTCGAAAAATTACACTACATATATAGGTAAAGTATTAGGTTTTAGCGGTATATAACATATACTAAACACCCTTTTATCGAAGAATTTTTTCACTTCTTTCAAGTTTGAATACTCTTGAGAAAATTTCTGGCACTGGCGCTTACAAGGGAGAAGTGCTCTCTGCCCGAAGTTTTTTCATTCTCAAGCTCGAACTTGAAATTTTTTGGATAAGAATAGAGGAATCTCATCCATCCCACCACATCTCTTGGTGATGATGCGTGAGTTAATGTCTTGTCGCCCTATACGCCTTGAGCATTTTTGCCCTTTAGGATCATGTTCCTTTTAATTTTCTTCTCAAGTATTTTACTAAAATTTACCTAATATGCTTTTTACTCTGTAATTTAACATTTAGTAACTTAATATACTATTATGCACCAATGCCATTATGCATAAATCTCAAATAGTTTTTGTTGAGTTTGTTGCTTTTGAATTTTCACAATTTTCATACAAATTTTTACTCCATGGTCTTCTATACAAATTTCAGCTCATAGATCTCATGTAAAATTCATGCATATATAAGATAAATGGTCCAAACGATGGTGGGTAGAGTTTAGGCAGACACTGTTTGAGATGGTCCTATAATTTTGTCATTCCAGGCTGTTACTCTTTTCTATATGTCTTCATCAACCCTTAAAAAGAAAACTATTTTGAACTGATTTTTTTTACAAACACAAGTACTCTCTTTCACACCACATGATCATGTCCATGAAACTTGTAACTGCTACCACATGAACATGTGATGACTACTTCTAAATTCTAATTGGTGTTTTTTAAAGTCACATAGAGATTTTGGCACGAAGTCCTGCAATTAAATGAAACACGTGATGCTTCTCCTATCCACGGTAAGCAGCCTGATTCAGCTTACACACATCTCAATTATTTAATTGGCTATTTGTTATCTTCTGCAAACACAATATCTATCTCATAAGGCTTAGGCAGATAAGAATAAATCACCTTATATTTTTGTCTGTGTTAGAATTTAAATCATGATCTTTCATAATTTTCATTCACCATTAGGTCAAATCCTCGGTGCCGAACACATTATTCTTGGCCACCTTACTAGTTCAGCTCCATTCTGGGTCTTAGCATCATCATCTTATTAGTTTGTTGGTTGCACCCCCTGTATTATAAAATCAAATATTTACACTCCCTATACCATGAAAACTCTATACTTACACCTCCTATGATGTAATATTCGAAATTAAGTTTATTAAAATATAATTATAAAAATATAAATTAAAATTATAAATCCAAAGTTTTACGTGTTTATTTTTATGAAAATTTAAAAAGAATATAAATTCTAAAAATATTTATTCACACCTTTGATTAATTAAAAAAGAGAATAAATATTTTTTGAAACATGTACCTTTCGAAACTCAATAAGAAATGAACAAATTACTTAATAAGATGACAAAAAAAAAATATTATGCAAAATATTGAGTAACTTGTGTTCATTAGTAAAGATTTTCAAAAGATACATTTTAAACAAAATAATTATTTTCTTTTTTAACCAAAAGCGTGAATAAAGATTTTCAACCATTTTTGTTTTGTTAAATATATAAGAACTTTTTATTTGTGGATTTAAACTATTATTTAACAATTACGTGTATTTTAATATAGTTAGTTAGGGATATACCTCATAAAGGGTGTACGTGTAGAATTTTCATATATAGTATAAGGAGTATAAGTATTTGATTTTAAAATATAAGGGGTGTATCCGAAACTGAGTCATATTACATGAGAATTTATGTAATTAACTCTAATGTAAAGTAGGGCGAGTTTTTTTATGTCAAAAGAAAGAAAGAAACCTTACGAATTATGAAATTACGTATGCGATATAGTAGCTAATAAAGCTCAAATTATTCAAACAGATTGATTCTTTTTATTATTATTATTATTATTATTATTATGTCACTGGCCATGTAAATATGCAATTATGACCCTTTTTGAGGAGTGCATAACTTTTTTCCGTTTCTATTGAAAAGGGTAAGAGCGATTGTCTTATTCTCAAACAAGAAGGTGACCTCAAAACTCTTACGTTCACTAACAACGTCAATCACTTTTTAATGCCAAAAAAACAGGAAGAAAAAAAAAACACCTATTGTGACTGCATTTATTCCAAAGTTATGACTTTTCAAGTATGCTCTTGAATATTTTTGTTTCCTTTTATTCATTTTCACGAAGAAGGATGGCGTTAAAAAAGAGAAAAACTGATAACCCTTGCATCTGTAACATATATAATAATAATACTATTTTTTTTTTCCTTTAGACCTAAGTCATGGTATACACAAAATGAGATTACACTGCCACACCGAGTAATGTGGTGGAATGATTTTGATCTCTCCTTTTTTTTTTTTACAATGTCTCGAATTTCAATCTCGAGAATGAAAATCTTTTCCGTAGAGAATAAACTTATTCTGCGTGAATCTGAATTAGTTGGACCAACAGATTACGGATATTGAGTAGAAAAGGTCACTCGATACACTAAGTTTTCGTTATACGCGGGATCTGGGAAAAGACCGGACCACAAGAATCTATTGAACACATTCTTACCCTACATTCTGCAAGAAATTGTTTCCACGACTTAAAGCCAAAAACAAATGGAGCCTAGGGGACTTCTCCATTTCCTTGCTCCTCAATCTCCTTATGACCTAAAGAAGACAAAGGAGAAGAAGGACAAGAGAAAGAAGAAGAAGCAACAGAAGAATAAGAAGTAATAGAATTATCAGAATTACTAGGAGGATCAGTAGGAGCAGCAAGTTCAATAAGCAAATCCACAAAAGCACTTAAAATAAATCCATGATTTATTTTCCCATTCATCTTCAAATACCATGCTAATAACTCTTGTAAATCTTTCCAATCTTTAATCCCTTGACTTTCCACCATTTCCTTCATTGACTTCTTGAAATCCAAATATGGATCCTCTGATTCCATAGCCAAAATTATACTCTCTTTAAA